AAGGAAAATCAAGCATAAAAATAGTACATTTCAAATTGGAGTGCTGGTGTTTGTGTTCCCAGCTCCTGGAGATGGCTGAACTCCTGCCTGCCCATGGGAAGCAGTGAATTAATTCCTTGTTTTGCTTTGTTTGTGTGCACAGCTTTTGTTTTCCTATTAAACTGTCTTTGTCTCAACCCACAAGTTTTCCAGCTTTTACCCTTTGATTGTCTCCCCAGTCCCACTAGCAAGTGAGGGGAGTGAGTGAGGGCTGCATTGGGTTTGGCTGATGGCTGGGATTAGCCCACGACAGGTAGGTAACACAGAAAGGCAAAACCAAGACAAAAATACAACAGATAATTCCTCTACTTTTTCTATCGTCACTGCTTTTGAGTGTCTATCGTGGGCTCAGCAAAATCTCAGTCTCCTCTGGTACTGAGGCAAGGAATTTACATTTATGTGGGAATATATAAGAAATCTGTTTTTCTTTTAGTAACCTTCACAAATCATACTGAAAATAGGATCCAGAACATCTTATGTTCAGATAGACAGGAAAGTTTTGTTTTCCATTCCAAATTGCCCATAGGGAGATTTCTGCCTTTTTTATGTGATTGTTTGGGTTTCATTTCAAACTTTTTCCCTTCATTTTATGCTTACACTCCTTCTATGTAGTTTATTGAAACACTCCTTCTATATAGTTTATTGGGAGTCATATCCCTTTTCTCCCTTTCTTTCATTTGGGAAAAAAAAAATAAAAAGTTAAAGAGGATAGCAATTATGAATAAATTCTGCCTAACTAGTAAACCTAAAAGTATCTGAAAGTTCTGGGATTACCTTGAAAATGAAGCCGGAGCAACACAGTAATAAAATCTGAATAAACAGGGCTAGAAAAGAGGGGTGAATTGCTACAAATACATCAAATTATTAAAGCCAGATTGAAATGAAACTACCTCTTCAGAATTTTATAACCTGAATTTATACACTAATGTGGCTTCATGTAATACGCTGTGCATTACTTTAAATCTTAGCCACAAAACAGCCACTGGACAGTAAGAACTAAATTATAGGAATGAGTCCAGTAAGTCAGAAGCAGGAGAACTGCACGCCCTACATGAGGGAATCATTTTAGGGAATTTAAGATAAAAAAAGTGACAACGTAGACACACTCCCTTACACAAACAAGAATCAGGAAAAGGCTTCAGAGGGGGTTAGATAAACCCATGCCTTTATGGTCTCAACTGTGGTGAGAAAGTTCACAAATTTGAGCCTTTACCTTATGTTGTCCTTCTTTATTTACATACAATTATGTGTATATATATATGTGCGTGTATGTACATACACAAATGTGTCTATATATAATTATATACTCACAAACACACATGTAACACATGAATGCAGAAAACCTTGAAGGAAAGACTGAATGAACCCACCGAGTATATAAAGTAATACAGGAGATGCCTGAAGGTGTCACTTATTTTACTTGACTAAACAGATCTCTTCCTAGTTACAAATTTATCTTTGGCTTTACAACAGGATATGTACAGAGCATAAGAACTTTTGTCATCACATCCTTTATGTTTCCAGTAAGTACCTCGACAATAACAAACAAAACATGGTTAATGAACTTCTGGGTATTGAAATTCCAATGAAAAGCTAGTTCCTCTGTGTCATGCTCAGTAATATTGACAGCAAAAAATATATGTTGATAAAAAAATTACAGAAATGCTGACTGATGGGAAGATGTGCATTTTGACATGACTTTAGATGGCTACGTGAGCTTGGATAAATACGTGATTCCAAATGACCATTTTGCAGTAATTTTTGCCCTGTTGCTCAGAAGTAGGTTATTCAGAGCAGGAGATTAGATTTCTGCTAACAATACTTTTCCTTCTGTAGTTTCCTGAGTATGTTTGTTTTACAAAACTAAAGTGATAAATTCAGCAGTAAGAAGGTTTTTCATGTATCTTTTTGTTTATTTCCCTATTATTTACACTGTCCAATTAAAGGTTAAAGAAATCATTACCTTGAGGAAGCAAGCAATTGCAACAACCCAAGTTCAAAATTTGTGCAAATACTTAGTAATACTGACAGATTTCATTCTGCCTGTAATATTCCTTGGAAGGGGAAAAAAAGCAACAAAAAAAAGGAACAGGAAAAACTAAGAATTCTAAGAATTCCTCACCAGAAATGTAACAAATGACCTTTACTGCAGTAGGTACAACACTGGAAAATTATTTGCTTTTTTTTTTCTTAAGCTGAGAACAGTGATGGCCTACACTTTAAAGTCTGCAGAGAATAAACTGTTTTCATCTGCTAAATATCAGGACACCTAAAAGCATACTAGGTGCAAGGAAGAACAGCACATTATAAATAGGTCTTTTCCTAGAGGTTGTTGTATTGGTGTGTCTAGATGTTAGAAAAACAAGAATATCAATTTTGGAACTGTAAGAAATTGGATTCTTGGGAAAGCAGAACCATATGGTTACTGATTTTCTAAAATTCTTAGTTTAGTAGAGATAAATACAGATCATACCAGAGCATCGAGATAGACGTTTGTCCATTGGACTTGTTTGGCTTGCTCTCCAGCTAAAACCATTGGTCTTCCCAAAACATCCAGATATTCCTGCCAAAAAGTGTAATAAACTCGTCAGAAGGCAATTATTAGATCAAAGAGCACAAACAATATTGAAATAAACAGTAATTAAATATTAATCATTAAAATATCAGGGGAAAATAGGAAATCAAAAGTCACCACTAATATAGGAGAAGCATTTATTTACTTCTTAAAAATTGTACTACAAAATAATTCAATCCTCAGTTTGCAGTATTTGCAGTATTACAGAAAAGGTAATTCCTTTATTTCACTCCCAGTCACACAGACCTTGCACACTCACAACCACCATTCTCTCTCCACAAAATGAGAATTATAAATATTTTTTGTTCCAAAATTAATTGCTAATGACATAAAGAAAGTACAAGCAGATTACAGACAGAACCATCAACCCAGAAGAAAGAGTGGGCAGTGGAGGGTGAGTGGTGTTAACGTCTGGGTATGTTAAATTCCTATGGCGACAATTTGCATAACTTCTATTGGAATTACAAAAATCAGAGTTATAAAACCTCTTTTTCCTGCCTTCCTTCAGTTTGTGAGTATGGCTGAAGCTGGTGATCTTATGAGATGCCAGATTTCTGGACTGATTTGGGAGTGGATGTCATGAAACTTTTTTCAGTCATCAACGTTTTCTACTTGCCTGATCTTATTTAGGGATATGTCTTGCCAGGCACTGTCTGGAAGAGTTTAACAGAATCAAAGGGCTCTTATTGAAGCCAAAAAAGGATTCTTATTTTCTGCCAAAAAATGTCATGCCTGGCCTTGGAAGGACAAAGAACTGCTATGATATTTTTCTTCTGTTCTGGACTTGTGAGTACCTGGACTTTCAGAAAACTGAAAGGAATAATTGTTCTTCTAAACTGTTCTTCAGTTTTGATCTCATCATATAATCCCAGAGTCCTGTGCCTTTATTCATCTACATGAAAGTCTGCTAAAATGTTCCTGCATCCTTTTTGAAGGAAAGAAGTGCAGTCTCTTCCAAAAGGGTTGGATCCACCCAGGTACCTCTCCCATAAAGCAGGCTTGTAGTGTGGCACCCACCTGAGTTCAGATGCTCTATCTAGCAGAGCTATCCCCTCACATACATCCACAGCCTCCTCCATGTAATACAAACCCTTTGGACCATGCAGAAAGTATGGCAGAAGGTGAACTATGAATGCCCAGACACACTGGTTTTATAGAACTTTATAATAAAATTGCCGTCATATCTCAGCATCAAAGTTTGAGGGACCATGTAAGACCTGGAGGAAAGCTGAGCCTAAAACAAAGTCCTTGTGCAGAAGCCTGCAGGATACAGAGCACTTCAGACACTCCAGGGTGTGCACATGGTCAGCCTGCTTTGGAGGATGTTAATGTGGCCACTGTTGTGACCAGCACACAGGCCAGCTGGCCAGGGTAACAGGGATCATGTTTTAAACTGGTTCACTGCAACCACCAAAAAGAAAAAGTATAACATTTTAAGAGAATAATCCCTTAAATGTAGAAGAAAGCCTTAAATCTTTTTCTCTTTTCTTAATGTAGTGTATCTTGAAATTTTATTGATTTTAGCAGAGGTAAAGAGCAAACATATCCAAGAACATGTATTACTCCACTTTCTGTGTGTTAAAACTGCATCTGGATTTGGCCAACTCACTTACCTGGGTGTTTATTCTTATGGCTCCAATAGATGGGATTTCATAATAATAACCTAAAATTTGAAACAGAAATAATGTCATTTTACCATGATAGATTGCTGGCCTCTCAATCATGTGGAATTTCATTTAGCTTATAATTTCTAGTCTAAATTTTACTAGAATTACTGTTTCTGAATGAAATACTTTTTAGTAGATGCCACCACAATGCATGGCTAAATGATGGGTCACCATGCCATTCCAAGGCAGTAACTACCATACCAAGGTAGTTACCCTTAAGCAATGACAGCTATAATTTGTTTCTTTTGGCTGTTTTGTTTAAGGCTGTATCATATACTGAGTTTATACTCATGAAATCCCAGTTACTATGATGTGCAAGCATATTTAATGTTTATTTTAATATGCTGTGACAGCAACAAAATTATATGCCGAATGCATGTAGGAATGTAAGAATAGCTATGGTCTGCCACAAGAGTGAATTCATAGTATAAAAATATAAGGCACTCTGTGGAACGAAAAAAAAGCTAGGGGGTATTTCTCCTACACAGAGAATGTGTATCAGAAATGTCTTTATTTAGTACTGATCGTATTGCTCATTTGTTTGAATTAAAAATATTTAAAATGCTGTCCATATAATAAGACTAAAGCCTGGCACTGAGATCCATCTTCAGTCCAAGAAAATTTTAAGTCAGACTGGAAGGAAGAGCAGGGGATTGGAGAGATAAAAGTATTGATATTAGTAATTTCCTTTGCTGTATGCAAAATATTTTAATTTAAGGAAAAATGAAATAAAACTGCTTCTTTGGATGTACAAACAAATAATCACAGGAATTTTGGACAGAAGATTATGATCATTTTGCCTCAGTAATAAGATGACATAGGTGGTTATGCTTTAAACCAGCTGCTCCTCATTTGTTTTAAAACAATGGATGTTGTCACATGCACACAGTATTTTGAGATACAAAGATATTAGTAAAAAAAAATTCTGTTCAAAACACAAACATCAATTTTCTGCTATTATCTGACAACACAATCTGCTCTTCATGAAGTTGTAGTATCTTCTGCATGACTTGTCAGCCTGCTGAGGGTTTTATGAAGTTATGATACATATGTATGCTATTCACCCAGGCTACAGATTCTTCTAGTATTTTTTTTCCCTGTATCTATGCCTTTCTCTTATCTTTGCTTTATGTTACTCTTCTGCCTGAGCATATCTTTATCTCCTTCCCTGGCAGTCCTAGTTTTTGAGACTCTGTAATCCAGCTCACCTCTCTCCTCTTGCTTCTCACCAATTTGTAAAATAGTTTTACATTTTTGGTCAGGTCTGGAAGTTGCTCTATTTAAAATATAAGCAAATGTTTAATAAAATATATGTTTTGTACTTGTCTCTATTAATTTCTATTATTTCTTTTATCTTTTCTGCTACATCTCTGTATCTTATGCCTTGCTGTACAGTTATATTATATTTGAGACTCCTCTTACTCCCACTCTTAAAATGTTTCTGAGTACATTTTTCATGTAAAAATTTCATGTAGAAAACATTTTACTTTTTTACTTTTGCCTTTTTTATTTTTTCTTTTTGTCCTACATACAGAAAACAGGATAAAAATAAAAAATACAAGATGCTCTCAGAAATGAAGAAAGCACAGCAAGAATTGTTTTGATATTTTCATTTAAAAAGGGAAAAAGTTGTAAGCATCTGATCCCTTGCAAATTTTGGAGAAAAACAGAAAGAAATGTAACCAGCCAACTAACCAAACAAAAATCCCTTTGTCCAGACCGCTTAATTTAAAACAGCTTTGCCTAATTTCTTATCTGTCATCAGTTCCAACTTTACATAGATGGCTATTACAACAAATATTCTCAAAACTGAACCATAATGGCTTATTATTATAAAAACTACTGTGGCAGTTTTCATACAATATAAAGTTTTAAATAAAGTAAATAAAGAAATAAATATACCAGTTTCTTGTTTACATGTGATTTTTTTTCATGTATATATTATGTAATAAATTAACTTTTGGAACGTCTGATAACAAATACAATAAAGCTAAAATTCAAGCTAAAATCTGCCATTTTTAGAGAACAGTAAAGATATTACCTATCCAAAGCTTTAGTGAAGCCCAGTTTAAAAGAAAGACACAGTACCTTTATTTTCACAGGCCATCCACTGTATGGGTCCTTTGTCATAGTTATGTTGGCCAACAGAAAATGTGAACACACGTACCTGTGCAAGTTAAAAACCAATGCATGTAAAAACTAGCTATTATTTATTAGTTGTGACCCTCAAGTCAATGATACCTGGATTTTTCTTAAATTTCAATAGAAAAAGAACACTATGAATTTTCCAGTTTTTGTCACCATAATAGATATGAAAAATGTAAAAAATAATAGATTATGTCATTTTATGTATTTCTATTATTTCTTCCATGAAGCAGTATCAAGAAGAATGCTCTTTTACACAGCCTTCATATTTTAAAAGTCTTACTTTGGTGATTGTTCATGAAGTATTTAAATTTTTAGGCTTTTTATTTTAGGGTGGTAATTTTAACTCTTCAGGTTTTGCTAAATTAGTTGACAAAACATATCAATATTAGATGCTTACCAATGACAATAAAAATGTGCATGGCAGTAGAATTCAAAACAATGCAAAACAGGACGTTTTAAGATATAAAATATGACATTTTCTGATACTGCACAAACAAATTCTCATTTTGCTCAGACTAAGTCTTCTTTATGTAAAACCACTAAATTAGTTCAACAGACTTCCATACAATGGTTAAGCTTCTGATCTCGCACCTTAAGCACAGGATATTCATTTAAGTTCTGGGGTTTTTTAGCATAATTCTATTTTTTACACAATGCTACTCTAATGTAACCTCAGCATCTGTAAACAGTTACAGCTCCAGAAAAATTCACCAAAATCTCTCCAAGTTTTTCAGACTTTTCAGTTGAGATTATTTTCAATGCACATTTTCTTATTTGAATGAGAAAAATTTAAACCCTAAACTTGTATTGCTTTAAAAATATAAAAATCCTACTAGAGACATAGAAAAATTACAAATACTATGTTTCAGCTTCTAGCTGAATATTTTGCTCTAAATTTGGATGTTTCTGTTAAAAGCTGGGTAACATATTTTCCCAACAGTTTTAATGAGCTGCTCACTATATGCATGTCCCTCTGTTCAAGGGTCAGAAAGCTTTTCCTTTTTAGGCATCTCTTTCTTTATGGATCTTTATCTTTACCACTTCAATGAAAAAATCACAGATCACAACATGAAATCAGAATGAAAATTCCTTTCTACGGATTTGATGCTTGAAATTAAAATATACAACAATTAATTTGCATGCAGGCTGTGAATAAGTAATAAGGTAATGTTTTCATTAAATAATACACTCTAAAATTGCAGAGACTCCTTGTAAACTACTGATCATTGCTAAGTTATTTAATGACTATTTATAAATATTTTCACCACATTATTTAGCATGTGCAATTAATTCCCAAATCTTCATTTCTCAAATAGGCAAAAAAAAATTGTGTGACATAATCAGAGCTCAAGGATTAACTAAGAGCTGTAGGAATGGCTTCACATCATCCATCAGCAGGTAGCAAATGGTGAAACCTTATTAGTGTTGACCCCTATATGTCAGAAGGGCAAACAAAGCTTTGTGCTGGATGCCATTTTTAATTAACAACACATTTTGATTTGCTTTATCCATACAGCCCCTTTGTTTCTGCAGTTAAAAGGAGAATTAAAGCAACTCTTCTGCTGCACTGAGCACCGATTTAAGTGCTTGTTTTGTAGTTTTAGACCACTCCATATAGGGTCATTCCCCACTAATAAGGCCAATATACATTTCTGGTTACACAGGGAGGTATAGAAATGACTATGCCTGCATGATGGTAAATTTTTTTCCTCATAGTTCATATATATAAAGACAGATAAAAAATATCTTCTATGACCCTGAAGAAATCAGTAGTGACTGCAAAAATTACTTCACCTGGCATGTTTACATCTCATTTATTAATACCGTGTCACATCCCCCTTTTATTCTTGACATCTTTTAAAAAAATGACAGCTATAATTCTTCTAATGGATCTTTCAGCTTCTATTTAATTAACATCTATTTTTTTCTTATCTGATTATCACCATGTTATTCTATATTGGCACCTCTCTGCTCACAAGGTCCCTGCCTCTTTACTCCTGTTCTTTTTGAACTCACACTGCTCCCAGTTTATTGTCCACTAAGCACTTGATTCAGAACAGATTCTTCTCAAAAACTATGGAAAAACCCCACTGTTGGACACTAATTAGATACTTGAGAGACCTGGTGTTTCTTTTGGATTAAAAGCTACCAAGTCATGTGGGTTCTCTTGTGTGTGTAGAAAACACATGAGTCAATTAGACTGGACTGTCTAGCATTTGATCTCAAATGTAAAAATGAAACACTGAATTGGATTCAAGTTGCGAAATGCTATGTAATTTAGGGAAAAGCAGCAGTGTGTTAAATCTGCAACAAATCTATAAAGAATTTAGAATTTAAATTATTGACAACAAGCAGGAGACAATATATCTGATTTACTGTTCCTTGGATAATTAACAGAGATAAAGAACTGCAATGAAAATTGGAGATTTTAATTGTTACTTGGTTTGGCAAGAGGGTGGGATATTCAAAAGAGTATTCTTTTTCCTATTGCCTCATCTGGAATCGAGTAGAATGACAGACCAGCTGGAAAAATGAGTCAGCAAGTCAAATTAAACAAGACAATTTTAGGGGGGAAAAAAAAAAAGCTCTGTTCTAAAATTTTCTGTGAAGGGACACAGCTAAAGTACTGGGACATATTTGTCTATATGTTTTCCTTATAGACATCTCTCCAAAGAAGACAGTAAGATATTGAGTAAAAAAAGAAAAACAACAAAAAAACCCCACCAAACATTTAATCATTTAATTACTTTTAATAGGGAATTTATGACTAAGAAGAATACTTTAAGCAACTAGATCAGACACAATGGGTATGAGCACCTCTCCCTGTGCCTGTCCTTTAAGCTTGGTTTCAACCAACTAAGTGGGTTTCTCAGTTGAAGCAAACTGCCAAGTAGTCTTTGATCCCCAGAAGTTGTTTTCCATCACCACTGAGGCCTGGATATTTCTTCTCTCTGCCTTTCTGGAGACTCTTGGGTTCTCTGCAAACTGCAGTTCCTGGGAGGTTTTGCCATGACAGCTCCTCTCCACCACCCTCATTAGGGGATGGACATTTGTGTTCCCCAGCACATTTCCTAGGGAAAGGGCAACCTTGCTTCAAGGCACATCTATTTATTCTCTTAATAAAGAAACATAACTTCCAAAGCAGTAAAAACTAACTGAAAAAAATAAGATAAACAAATAGAAAGCCATCATGCTTTCTGATTTTCAATGAACTATTCAAAGTAAAGTACTTCTAGAAAACTTGTATCCTTAGAATTGAGAAGATCTAGAGATGGGCACCAGCCTGCCCTGCCAGCCCATCCAGGCACTGTCTTGAAATTTTTCTGAAGTATAAAAGTCCTAATTTTTAGCACGGTGGTTTTCAAGACTACTTCTCTGCATCTTCCTCACTGAGACTAAACCTAGTTGGAAAAAAATATTCTTTGTTAAAATAATTTACAGTATATAGTAGAGGAATATACTAATAAGCAACCAAACTGGGTGGCACAGGCTGCCCAGTGAGGCTGTGAATCTGGTCCTTGGAGGTTTTAAACACCAGACTGGATATGGCCCTGAGCAACCTGGTCTGATCTTAGACCTGATACCGAACTAGAGACCTCTGCAAGTCACTTGCAACCTGGCTGGTCCTAGGAACCTATGAAGGACATCAAAGGAATACATGCAAAAATCCAACTCTTAATCAGAACAAGTGATAGACAGAAAAGAATGCTACAAAAATAGAGGAATAAGTACTTTATTGAACAAAATAGAATTGTCTAATTATAAAACAAATTTGCTGTTTATTTTTATTTCTTTCTAGTGGAAGAAGATCATAAGCTCCAAGGTGAGTAAAAAAGATTTTGACTACTACAGATTTTAAGGGACAATGGCACTCAAGAGAGTTGTGATGAAGACAAAAATGAAGAGGTACCTATGAAAAGGCTGCTTTCCCTACAGATCTCATTTGCTTTTTATGCATTTCATTTCTTCATTTTGCTATTGGAATAAAATTAAGAAATATTAAATTAGATGCTTCCTTTGGGTGTACTATGTTATGAGTATTACAAAAAATTAAGGCTTGACTGAAGTTAATTTAAAGGGGTAATTAAACACAAAGCAGTTGCTATTTAGGATACCGCCTATATGTGTAGGCAGTGTAGAATCACTGAATGCTTTGGTTGGAAAAGAACTTAAAGATCATCTCATTCTAACTCCCCTGCCACAGGCCTACAAGCACTGCAAGCACTGCATGCCACTCAGAGTGGAAGTAATGCACATTTTTTGACAGATAAATTATTTGTCTTGAATCCTGTGCTAATGGAATGACAGAGCTTTCAATAACAATTTCTGTGCATCTCTTCATTTCTCTGCTTAGGAAAAAATTAACTCACTTTTGGAGATATATATGTCTATTTTTCCAGATACCAAGAGAGCTATACAATTAATTCTCTCAACTGGATGCAGTCAAGATGAATCCTGTCATTTTATGCCTAGAATATAAAAGACAAAGCGTGCATCTTGCTCTACCACTAAATAAGCAAACTGACTATGACCAAAAACTGAGCTCATCAAATCATTCAACATTGGTTTTCACGATGACAGTAAGATTTTAGAACATTTTATTCTGGCCTTTATAGCTTCAGGTAAAGATTCACAGATAATATTTTTCACTATACAACAAGAAAAGCTGTGATAAAGGGGAATAAATAATTCAGTAATTCCAGCATGACCCAGGAAATTATCTTACCCAGTAATGGGTTTACAGATTATCAGATATGAGGAAAAATTTTTTGCAGTTTATATTTAATAGGTATACCTCTTAAATTATAGGACAACATAAGAAGCCTGTCATTCTCAATAAAACCATAAAACTACTCCTCTGTTTTCTATTATGCATTCTGTCTTCTAAATCCCTTGCAAATATAGCTTGTAAATCACTTAATCATTTTTGTGTTTTGTGTCATAGGCCAGGGAGATGTTATGTGGTTTTCAAGCTGCCTTAGCTAAAACTGTGAATGCAATTTTTTTTCTTACATTTTT